CTCTGACCTTCTGTCAGGTGTCGGTCCGGTCCATCTCTAACCTTCTGTCAGGTGTCGGTCCGGTCCATCTCTAACCTTCTGTCAGGTGTCGGTCCGGTCCATCTCTAACCTTCTGTCAGGTGTCGGTCCGGCCTATCTCTGACCTTCTGTCAGGTGTCGGTCCGGTCCATCTCTAACCTTCTGTCAGGTGTCGGTCCGGTCCATCTCTAACCTTGTGTCAGGTGTCGGTCCGGTCCATCTCTAACCTTGTGTCAGGTGTCGGTCCGGTCCATCTCTAATCTTCTGTCAGGTGTCGGTCCAGTCCATCTCTAACCTTGTGTCAGATGTCGGTCCGGTCCATCTCTAACCTTCTGTCAGGTGTCGGTCTGGTCCATCTCTGACCTTCTGTCAGGTGTCAGTCCGGTCCATCTCTAACCTTCTGTCAGGTGTCGGTCCGGTCCATATCTGACCTTGTGTCAGGTGTCGGTCCGGTCCATATCTGACCTTGTGTCAGGTGTCGGTCCGGTCCATCTCTGACCTTGTGCCAGGTGTCGGTCCGGTGCATATCTGACCTTGTGTCATGTGTCTTTCTGGTCCGTCTCTGACCTTGTGTCAGGTGTCAGTCCGGTCCATCTCTAACCATCTGTCAGGTGTCGGTCCAGTCCATCTCTAACCTTCTGGCAGGTGTCGGTCCAGTCCGTCTCTGATCTTGTGTCAGGTGTCGGTCCGGTCCATCTTCAGGTGTTGGTCCGGTCCATCTCTAACCTTCTGTCAGGTGTCGGTCCGGTCGTCTCTAACCCCGTTTGATGTACAGGACTGTTTAAGGACAGTATTTCTAGGTGTGGTCATGGAGAGGAGTGGTTCTGGTTTGGAAGTGTTTGGGTTTTGTCTCCTTTAAGCAGATGATGTGGTTCTGTTGGCATCAGCAGGTTGAGATCTTTAGCTCTGGTGTGGTTTACACTCGAGTGTTAAAAGGCTCAATCGTACGTTAGTTACTTTAAGTCTGAGGCCAATAGTTGGACTCCCCCCTCCATGTGGGGGGTGGGGGAGTTCCTGCATCTGGGTGTTCTGTTCACAAGTGATGGAACGGGAGTTGGATCGATGGATTGGGTTCTCATCCTCAGAAATGAGGGTGTTGCTTCGGTCAGTCGTGGTGAAGAAAGAGCTGAATCGAAAGGCAAAGCTCTGGATTTACTGGTCTGTCTTCGTACCAACCCTCGCCTGTGGTCATGAGATGTGGATCACGACTGAAAGAACCAGATCCTGGATACAAGTGACTGAAATGAGCTTCCTTCGTAGGGTGGTCGGGCTCAGCCTTAGACAYGGGGAGGAGCTTCCTTCGTAGGGTGGTCGGGCTCAGCCTTAGACACAGGGGGAGGAGCTTCCTTCATAGAGTGGTTGGGCTCAGCCTTAGACACAGGGGAGGAGCTTCCTTCATAGAGTGGTTGGGCTCAGCCTTAGACACAGGGGGAGGAGCTTCCTTCATAGAGTGGTTGGGCTCAGCCTTAGACACAGGGGGAGGAGCTTCCTTCATAGGGTGGTCGGGCTCAGCCTTAGACACAGGGAGGAGCTTACTTCGTAGGGTGGTCGGGCTCAGCCTTAGACACAGGGGGAGGAGCTTCCTTTGTAGGGTGGTCGGGCTCAGCCTTAGATACGGGGAGGAGCTTCCTTCGTAGGGTGGTCGGGCTCAGCCTTAGACACAGGGAGGAGCTTCCTTTGTAGGGTGGTCGGGCTCAGCCTTAGACACGGGGAGGAGCTTCCTTCATAGGGTGGTTGGGCTCAGCCTTAGACACAGGGGGAGGAGCTTCCTTTGTAGGGTGTTCGGGCTCAGCCTTAGACACAGGGGGAGGAGCTCTGTCATCCGGGGGGAGCTCGGAGTAGAGCTGCTGCTCCTTCACATGGAAAGGAGTCAGTTGAGGTGGTTCATCTGATCAGGGTGTTTCCTGGATGCCTCCCTTCAGAGGTCCCACTGGTGGGTGGCCCTGGGGCAGACCCAGAACTTGATGGAGGACTGTGTATTTTCTGTGACCTGGGAACACCTCAGGTCCTGCAGGACAGGCTGAAGCATGCTGCTGGGGAGGGAGCTCTGTGGTTCTCTGCTGGACCCTCTGACACCTGACTGCAAATGAGCATCAGAACAGGGAGTAATCCACGTAGAGGAAGTGACTGATGAGCGTTTCCATTTGGAACAGTTATTTAGAGCTTCTGTTTGAGGATCAGGCTGAGAGGGATCAGGTCCAGGACTTTATAGCTATATTTTAAATGTTATTAGAAATCAGCTCTTCTAAAAGTGATGACTGTTTCAGGCCGTCCCATGGGAGGAGTACCCGTCCTGGGCAGGAAAGGATTTAACTGACCTCCCCACCAAAGACCAGTTCATTGGGCCCATTGCAGTTGTGGATGGTTTTGTCCTTGAAGCTCCACCCTTTGAGGTTTGGGAGAAAAAGGGATTCTTCAGTGACGTCCCGTTTGTTGTCGGGACAACTGAGCAGGAGGTGGACTTCAGGTAAGAACTCGTCTGGTGCTGGTTCTTACCTGTTCAGCTGATTCCTGAGTTGAAACTCTTTGTTCCTCCACAGCCCTCCAGCTGAGAACATCTCTGACTGGACCTGGGAGGACTACAGCTGGTTTGTAACAGGTAAGAGCTGCAGGGTCACAGTTTAACAGGGTCCAGATTATGATGGTCTGCTCACCTACAGTGAATTCATGTCCAGCAGAAACCCTTACAGTCTTCTTCAGAGCTGGTTTAAATAAAGACTTTCAGACATGTTCAGTTTTTCAGTCATCTTAGAGCAAGTCAGCTTTGTGTCTGAGTTAAGGTTTGTTTCCTCGCAGATGTTGTGTTCAGCTCAGTCACACACTACACTCATCCTTTATGGACTTTTTAAACGCTTAATGGCTGGAATTTATATAGAGCTTTATCAAGTCCACATGGACACCAAACTAATCATTCACACACTGATGGTGCTAAGCTACACTGTAGCCACAGCTGCCCAGGGCCACACTGACAGAGGCAGGGCTGCCATACACCGGAGCCACCGGACCCTCTGACCACCATCAGTAGGTAAGGTGGGTGAAGTGTCTTGCCCAAGGACACAACGACTGAGATGACTGGAACGTGGAATAGAACAGGCAACCCACCGTTTACAGCAGGGGTTCTCATGGGGACCCCCTATAAGTGCCAAAAAAATCCAGGGACCCCCTCATAGACCCCCTGCTGTTTTAAAAGATAATTATTGTCATTTCAACCCCTAGATGCCATGGGGTTATTTAAATTATATATGTTTTTATTAAGTTTATTATGTTTGTTTTATTAGTTCATTGTTCTCCATGCATTTTTAAAAATAAAAAAACAAATTAACGATTTAGTGAATTTTTTCAAAGACCCCCAAGATACCTCTCTTGGACCCCTGGGGGTCCTGGGACCCCAGTTTGAGAACCTCTGGTTTACAGGGCAACTCAAAGCATGAGGCTTTCTCAGACAAACAAAAACAATGTGTGGCCAGTTTTTGCAAACATTTTTAACTTGTAATCAAGACATGTTTTTATCGTTTATCAGGAACCAGTGGGTTGTGTTCTGTTTTTGACTGCAGGAACCAGGGGACTGTATGAAAAGATCTAAGACATGTTTTATTGATTTAAAATATAGTTCAGAGTTCAGAAATACACAAGTATACTTGTAGAACTGGAAAAATGTAAATACAGTTGACTGAAAGTCCTAACTTTTACCAACAATCTAATTAAATGTCATTATTATCTCAGGAGTTTAAAGTGTATCTTACCCCGCTGTGAAAAGATAACTCCGCCCCAAGGCGAAATTTGAAAAATGCATCAAAGTGGGTAGGGGACGGGGTGTGGGTTAGAGAGCGGAGGTGTGGCCAGGACGAGAGAACGCGACAGCTAGCATTAGCATAATTGATGCTACATGGAGAGTGACCACAG